TATAATTAGTTACACTTGGCTTTATCAATTTACACAAACACTGATATAAATATTGGCCAGAATTTCTTATCAAATTAATATTATACAAATACATTATATAAATCCTAGCGCACATTTTTCTTTGCAAAATTAAAATTATTACACTTTAATACAATTAGCTACACTTGGCTGTATCAATTACACATGACAATTATACACATTAATTAATCTTAGCCACACTATAGACTTATCCAAATTAATATTGTAATTATTATAATCCACACCTTAAGTATTATGTGAACTTAACATCCACCACCTTCTGTCATTTCACCATATAATGTATTAAGTAATTCCTAATTAATGACTTCACTAATTTACCTCCGTTTCAAGAAGTGACCAACGGGCAATTAAATGTGGGAAAATTGCATTTAGCTGAATTGTATCATTATATACATAACAGTAAAATGAACAAAGATAATTCTTATTTATCACTAGGACAAGTAGGAATTTGTGAACAACCAGGTCGCAAAAAATGTCCCCCTGTCGATACCATACCACTGTCATAACCCCATCCACAAGTTGCTCTGGACCTATTAATCATAAATGAAATATACATCACCAGGAATGCTGGTAAATATATAAATTTTGTGGAACTGTATATTAAATTAAAATGAATTATAATATAAATACCACATTTATATAACAGAAGGAGAATATATCTTAATCATAACACTCACACAATTTGAACTGGAAATCACGGTGAATTCATACTCAGAAAACTCTGTCATATCCATGAAAACAACAACTGGGCCAGAGTTATAACCTAACAGACTTAATCTGAAGTTCCTGGAGCTCTTGTCCAGTCGCCTGATATCGCAAGTTATGCAGGACTGCACATCCAACAATTTTCGCCTCGTATTTGAGAAGGTGTCAGCCAGTTTTTAATCTCCTTAGAGAGCTCGGAAAAAATTCTCCTCATTATTCACAACGTCCTTGTTAATCAATTCCAAACAAAATGCACTTCTCTTCTGGGCAGAACACAAAGGCTTTCCGTTTTTCTATGACATAAATATTATTAAATACGGCATGGCCAACTATTTACATTAACAACTGTATTTCAGAAAATATAATACAATATTTTCCACAAATAACAAAACTCCAGGAAATAGGACTGTTAACTCTCAGTTGACAGTCGTGGGAAAGAAGTGAAAATGATAAACAGTCAAGTTAATGTTTCAGTAGCTGACTTTATATTCAGCTGGCCAGTGTACAGTGAGAGAATCATAGAAGAAAACGCCAAATAATTCTATAAACTCAAGGAAAGTCAGGTTGTTATTGGCGTTTACTTCCCTCATTGTTTTTAAAATGGCTGAGTCCATCAGACAAGTCAGGCAGTCAAACACCACACAACCCCTATAAAATGGAATTGAGAGGATTGGAAGGAAAAAACCATTGATTAAACGTTTTCTGTCTATCCAGAATGGGAAAAGGAATTATAAGTTTAATAGGTGAAAAACCGGCCTGTGTAGTTAGAGACGGAAGGGGAGTGTGTAAATAAAGGTAATTGAAAGGGTGTTAAGTTAAGGAAAAAGTGATCAGTGAAGAGGGTTTTGAAGAAGAAAAATTACTAGTAATTCAAACATACTATACCAATAAAGGGGAAACCCCCAAGCAGTTGTCAACTAGTAAGTGTATCTTATGACTTTATTCAAAAAGAACTAAGCAGGTTAAACCCAACTAAGAGCACTGGCCCGGATAACATCCCGTCTAAGTTCCTAAAAGATGGTGCTTCTGAACTGTCAATCCCTATTGCTCGCATAATAAATCTATCAATCACCACTAATACAGTACCGGATGGGTTCAAGGAGGCCAGAGTTACTCCTATCTTCAAGAAAAATAGTAGGTTTGATTTAAGCAACTTTATCCCTGTTAGTATACTCGGTATAATATTCAAAATTCTAGGGGAGGCGGTGTACTCTCAAGTAGTTAAGTACCTTAATGACAACAACATTCTCTATAGCTATCAATCAGGCTTTAGAAGATCTTACTCAACCGACACTTCCCTAATTTAATCTGATGGATTACCTGAGAACTGAAATGTCAGTAGGGAACCTCATAGGTATGGTAACCTTAGACCTGCAAAACACCTCCGATACTGTCAACCACAATGTATTATGTAAGAAACTTCAAGTTATCGGTATAGGTTCTGTAGACTGGTTTAAGTCCTACCTTAGCAACAGGAGACAAATTGTCAAAATCAGCAAAACGGAATCAGAACCCCTGCCGATAGCATGTGGAGTTCCCCAAGGTAGTATTCTGGGTCCCTTATTATTCTTATGCTATGTCAATGACATGCCTATCAGTGTCAAGTGCAAACTTCTACTGTATGCAGATGACAGTGCTCTGTTAGTGTCAGGTAAAGACCCACAAGATATAACTAATGTTTTAACACTGGAACTGGAGTCCTGCAGCAAATGGTTAGTAGACAACAAACTATCATTACACCTCGGGAAAACTGAAGCCATTCTCTTTGGCACGAAACATAAAACTGAGAAGGGTAAATAATTTTAATGTCCACTGTAATGGGGAGCCCATCATTTTGGTTTCATCAGTAAAAAAATCTGGGAATCCCCTTTGACCCATGCATGTCAGGAGAATTGATAGGGAACAGTGTAGTAAAGAGAGCGAATGCCAGACTGAAGTTCCTGTATAGACAAGCACAGTGTCTACCTACTGAGGCTCGCAGGACCCTATGTCTAGCCCTTATACAATGCCATATGGATTACGCTTGCTCTTCATGGTACTCTGCCTTGACAAAAAAAAAAAGAAAAAAAAAAACTGAAAGATAGACTGCAAATCACCCAGAACAAAATCGTAAGATTCATCCTGGGGCTGGGACCAAGAGAGCATGTAGGCCAGAATGAATTACAGCAGTTGGATATGCTGAATGTTGAAGACAGAGTAAAGTAACTGAAGCTAAATCATGTTTATAAAATTGCTCACAAGCAGTGTCCAGAATATCTTGCTGTCAGTTTTGTCAAGGTTGGGAACCGCAGCAATCATAGTACTAGGGGGAGAGAGCACAACTTTGTAGTACCCACAGTCATTGGCCAGGCTTCAAACACCTTTTATTGTACAGCAATAAAGGAATGGAACAGACTGCCCGCACATGTCAAAGCCAGTCATAGCATGAACCAGTTCAAGAAGAGTGCCAAAAGGTGTCTGATGAATGTAGGTACAGAAAGGGAGTGGAATGATTTTCTATTTTTTAGCTAACATACGTGTAAATTTTACCTTATTCCTAGTAATGACCCTCGTATTGTAGATAGTCTTAATGACCCTCGTGTAGTAGATAGTCTTTTTAGTATGATAATAAGATGTTATCTTCATTATAGAATAATAAGAAAATATTATAACCTTTATATTATAATAATAAGGTAAAAGGACCCCAAAGGAAATAAGTCACTGTGTCTGACTTTTTTGGGTTATCCCAGGTTCTCTACACATATGCTGCTATGTATGATAATTCTATGTAACTGTATTTGTGTATACCTGAATAAACTTACTTGCTTGCTTACTTAATCACCTGTGTATGCTGTCACTACCATTATCACCTGTGTACAGTGTCACCACCATTATCATCTGTGTACAGTGTTACCACCATTATCATCTATGTACAGCGTCACCACCAATATCATCTGTGGACAGTGTTACCACCATTATCGCCTGTGTACAGTGTCACTATCATTATCATCTGAATACCTGAGGGGTTTTCGGGGCTAATCACCTCCACAGTCCGGTATGTGACCAGGACTCATTGTGTATCAGAGTGTGATCAACTAGGCTGTTACTGCTAGCTGCACGTGAATAGTCGTACGAGCTACAGCTCGGCTGGTCAGGTACTGCCTTAGGTGCCTATCCAGCTCCTTTTTGAAGACAGTTTGGGGTCTATTGGTAATCCCCGTTATGTACGTTGGGAGATAGTTAAATAGTCTTGGGCCTCTGACACTTATTGTGTTGTCTCTTAATGTACACCTGGCGCCGGAAATAAGTGGTATAAAATACCGACACAATGGATCTATAAACACATATGCAGTATAATGTGATCCTTGATTGACAACGTTTTGCCCACAAATCTTTTGCTTTCATAGGGAGTGATTTTGGTGTGCAGGTTTTGGACTAATCCCACTAGAATTTTCCAAGTGTTTATTATCATATTTGTTTCTCATCTGCGTACCAGGGAATACAAATCAAGGGGCTTCAGGGAGGGGCGAGCAAAATCACTAACTTTTTTTTTATCAGATTTCAATGGGATTGTGACAGTGAATTAAGCAGCATAAAAAAACGTATAGGCTGTGTTTGTTTTGACTGTTAGCCTTTAAGTTAGATAGAAAAAAAGTTAATTTTGCACAATTTTATGGGTCCTAGGACTTTCCTTTTTCTACTAAATTGGGAAGATGTACAATGCTGTAGTTGACATCAGATTAAAGATAAAGGCTAGATTAATAATGACCCATGACAGTTTAGCGATAATGTCAGTAGATTCCATTAAGAAAATGTTTTAGTTAATAATTTTTTTTTGTGTACAAAAAAAATCATTAAAAACAAAGCTGTAAACAGTAACACAAATCTACCCTGGGTGTTTGTAGAAACATCATTCCCCAATTACGTCTGCAAAAATCATGACAATCCTATTAATATTTATCGCAGGAGAGGTATTACAATATCAATAACTTATTTCTGATTTATTATTGATTTTGTTTGGTGTGCCAAATCTGAGCATGTTGCACTCACCCCTTCTTGTTGACAGCCTGCAGGCTACTTGTTGACAGCCTGCAGGCTACTTGTTGACAGCCTGCAGGCTACTTGTTGACAGCCCGCAGGCTACTAAGGGACTCGCCGCTTCACACTCTAGCCAGCACAGTAGATGTCATGTAGAGTATTTAATTCGCAATTTTTGGTGGAAAAAAAAAAAACACTAATTGCCAACATATATTTTTGCTGACAGCAGCACCAAAAAAAAACAAAATAATAATAAAAAACATACTTAGAAATACGATAGAAACAAGTAAATTACATCAAAATGTTGCCAGAATTTTGTACTATTTTTTCAGTAAGAAATTTTTTTTCCATAATTTTTCAATTTTAATTTCCTGAAACTGGAAAAAGGATCACCCCTCCCTTCAACTGTTCCCAGTAATTTAGATAATTTATCGTACTTATACATGCCCTGAAAATTTTCTGTATATTCTCAAGGTCTGCAATTTCGCCTGCTTTGATTATTATAATCAAATAAAGCGCTAAACCGACAAGGGTCATGCAGCACAGTGGGGCAGAAAATAGTGCTGGGGTTATAAATAGCTAGGTGGAGAGGGGATCAGAGGAGAAGGAAGAAAAAGGCTGAAAGAGACACTAGGGATTATATGTCAAAGTTCGTATAGTTGTGGACAATTGCATTTATCTGAATAAAACTCATTATGTACAAAACAGTAAATGATAACAAAGATAATTATTATTTATCAGAGTTACATAGACAAGTAGGAATTTGGGACACCTAGGTCGCAAATTATTATTATTATTATTATTATAATCAAGGGGAAGCGCTAAACCCGGAGGATTATACAGCGCCTGGGGGGGGATGTGGAAGGCATTCAGGCTTAATTCGGGGAACTGGAGCACAGATCCAACTCCCTAAATCAAGAGCCCCTCACCAACATCAAGGAACCTTCCTTGAGGGGCCTAGGTCGCAAAAAAAAAAATAAAAAAATAAATAAAAAAAATGTCCCCCTTCGATACCTACTACTGTCATATCCACAAGTTGCTCTGTACCTATTAATTATCAAATGAAAAATACATCACCAGGAATGCATTAAAACAAGGAAGTGTTTTTGGGTATGCCCAAATGAGATAAATCAGTGGACTAAAATCACAAGGGTATTAAAAGAGGATAACATCAAAGCTGCTTTCATAGACAACCTGGAAGCTTTCTACAACAGATGGGAACATAAAAAGTCTGGGCTGAATGGTACTGCCCTTGATACTGGCCATGTAGTCAGAAACTGTAAGGCTGGAGGTGATGTCCTGGTAGTCAGTAAATGTGGGGCTGATAGTGCTGTCCTGGGAGACAGCAATGGTGAAGCTGGAGGTGCTGTCCTGGGAGACAGTAATGATGAAGCTGGAGGTGCTGTCCTCGGAGACAGTAATGGTGAAGCTGGAGGTGCTGTCCTGGGAGACAGTAATGGTGAAGTTGGAGATGCTGTCCTGGGAGACAGTAATGGTGAAGCTGGAGGTGCTGTCCTGGGAGACAGTAATGGTGAAGCGGGAGGTGCTGTCCTGGGAGACAGTAATGGTGAAGCTGGAGGTGCTGTCCTGGGGGGACGTAATGGTGAAGCTGGAGATTTTGTCCAGGTAGTCGGGAATTATATGCAGGAAGGAATACATATAAATGACCTCTTTAGGGGACGGGAAAACCGTAGTGGGGAAACAAGTGTAGTCAAAGATAAGATAAAACCAATATTGGCAAAACTAGAAATACCACAGGAAATAGCAAACAAGAGGACTCCACTAGCAATAGTGATTTATATATTACCAAAAACAACTGGTGTGGATCCATTGTTGGTGCTAGGGAGGATAGGAATAAGACAGGGAAACATGCACCAACAGGGAATACAGTCACAGAAACCCAAGGCAAACGGAACCAAGCCTGTGCACATACTATGCATTGGTATCTGCAGACAGTGGAAATCTGGAAAAACAGACGGGACATGCAACAAATGACCCCCCATGGGAAAATGCCGTGCCCATATGACAAAGGAAATGCAAACTCCCTTCCTGTAAGCTTTTTAAACCATGAAATGTGTACCTCTTCAGTACAGGAAAGACTGTGCTTAACTTAAATTGCCAGGCACACCCTCTAAAGGGGACAAAAAGATACAAAACATCCAGGCCAATGGGATAACCTGGGTAGCCACAGCCACTCAAGAGGGAGGGTTTTTAAGTGCCAGGAAGGAAAAAAAACTGGAGAAATGGCAGAAATCGTCACCAAATCCAGTCATTCCGGGAGTGGAACCACAGTCGATGGCCTCCACTCCAAACCAACAGATACAGATACTAATGCCGGAAAAAAAAAATCAGCCCCCCAGTACCAACAATACCACAGTCCGATAACATTCTTCTTTGCAAAATACAGGGTCTAAAGCCAGCAACAAACAACAAAATACCCTTTCATCCGTGGACTGCTTGCAGAGGCAAAGGCAATGTTCGCGGCTTTCACTGAGACCCACATAAAGGATCACTTGGACAACGAAATATGGATCCCAGGTAACAACCTATACAGTGTGACGAGTGAACAGCAAAAGGGGGGGGGTTGGCCTGTACATTGCAGAGTCATTGTTTGCACAGAATGCTTAATGCCTCAAATGATGTAGTGGAAGCTTTAGCAGTAAAGATCGAGAACCAAAACCTAGTCATTGTGGTTGTCTACAAGCCTCTGGATGCAACATCCCAGCAATTCCAGGAACAGCTGTTAAAAATTGACCACTGTCTGGAAAATCTTCCAGCTCCTGCACCCAACATCTTGCTCCTGGGGGATTTCAACTTAAGGCACCTAAAATGGAGGAACATAGCAAATAATATTGTTGCAGTAATAACACCAGGAGGCAGCTCTGATGAAAACTCACACTCACACGAGCTTTTAAATCTCTGCACAAAATTCAATTTAAACCAGCAAATAATAGAGCCTACTAGACTGGACAATACACTAGACCTCATCTTCACTAACAATGATGATCTGATAAGAAATGTCACCATATCAAAAACAATATACTCAGATCACAACATAATTGAGGTTCAGACATGTATGCGCGGAGCCCCAGACCGACATAATGAGATTAGTCACGAGGGTGCATTCACCAAATTCAACTTCAATAACAAAAACATAAAGGGGACCAAGTAAACCAAGTCCTAACCGATATAAGCTGGGAAGATATACTAAGCAACACAGACCCGAACTTATGCCTAGAACAGATTAACTTGGTGGCACTCGATGTATGCACAAGGCTTATTCCTCTAAGAAAAAGGAGGAGTAGATGTAAAATAGAAAGAGACAGGCGCTCCCTTTACAGGCGACGGAAAAGAATAGTAGAGCGGCTAAAAGAGGTCAATATATCTGAAATGCGTAGGGAGACACTGGTCAGAGAAATAGCAAGCATCGAAATTAAGCTAAAGGAATCTTATAGGAGTCAGGAATCGCGGGAAGAACTAAAAGCCATAAATGAAATCGAAAGAAACCCAAAGTATTTCTTCTACTATGCCAAATCAAAGTCGAGAACAACGTCCAGTATTGGGCCCCTACTTAACACGATGGGTCCTACACAGATGACAGCAAGGAAATGAGTGAGCTACTCAAGTCCCAATATGGCTCAGTTTTTAGCAAGCCGCTAACCAGACTGAGAGTCGAAGATAAGTTTAAATTTTTTTTATGAGAGAAAAATTTGGTTTTAACACAAGCCTATCCGAGTTTTTTGGACCCCAAATGACTTCGAAAGGCGATAATGACTGCCATGCACTCTGCCCCGGGGCCAGACTCAGGGAAACTCCGTTTTTCATCAAGAACGAAGAAGCCCAAAAAACGAGTTTTTCCACCCTTTGGGAGGGGGAGCATGGACCGGGGGTCGTCCCACATTTCTAAAAAAAACAGACTAGCCCACTCACAAAGGGGACAGTAAGCAACAGAAAAGAACTACGCCCCATGCACTAACATCCCTATCATAAAATCTTTGAAACCCCTAAGAAAAAAAAGATCACCCCTCTAAAAACCCCATCAGTTACAAAACCCCGGGAAATGGGTTTAAAAAACAGGTCGTCTGTCTGTCTCAAATTTGGTCATACAAAAAGGCCCCCTAATCCTGGACAAAAAGAATGCAATGTAAAAATTACAGACTTTCAAAAAGCCTTCGAAAAGTGTGACCATGGGTAATGCCCCCAAAGCGTGCTAAAGGGAAAAACAGGAAAAAGTGGGTCGATGGATCATAATTTCCTCACTAACAGAACACAGAGAGTATAGTCAACAAGTAAAGCCCGGGAATACGGTGAAAAGCTCTGCAAAAGGCACAGTACTCGCCCCATTTTGTTCCCACCCTCATACCTGACATAAAAAGGATGTCAGCCGCACCGTTCTTCCTTTGTGAGACCCCGAATTGCATGACGTGTTTCTTTGCGCACTGCAAGCTCCAGGCGGACTCAACCGAATCTTTCAGGGCTGCAGAAAAAACATAAAGTTCAACGATGAGAAATTTCAATTTACTCGGGATATGGAAAAGGGGAAATTAAATTTATAGAGTAAAAAAAAATTTCTGGCAAAAAAATAGGCGAAACACCAACGTAAAAGACCGGGGGACTGTCTGTCGGAGGATCTCACTTCAAGGACCATAACATTGTACCAATCGCATCTGCTAAAAAAAATACAGGATGGATAATGAGAAGCTTCAAAATAGGGGGGCCCAAGCCAATGAATCTTCAGGTCACTTGTTTACTAGGCTGGAATTTGCTGCACACTAAAAAGCACCTTTCAAAGGTGAAATTGGCCCAGAAAATGTACAAGAACCTTCACGGCGCGCATAAAAAGGGGAAAAAACACCCCGAATTAATGGGAGCGTTGGGTTCCCAAACCCGTATTCCCCGGAACGCAGGGGGAGAGATACATGATTATTACACCCGGAAAATTTGAGGGGTAGTTTTCCGAATTGCAACGAAAAACACTCCTCGAAAGCCAAAAAACTTGGAACGTCAAAATCCCCCCAATGAAAAGCAGGGGGGTCACTAGCACGTTTAAGAGACCATTTTAAAAATGTCGGGGGGGCCCCAGACTGTTCAATGTCCCCGGATAATAAGGGGGGTTTTCCAACAGACCCCTGGGAGTCTTTAAGCTGGCCCCTGGACAAACACCTAAAATCGGTTCATGATCAGCCGGCTGTGGCTCGTACGTTGGTTTTGCGTGCATCCGCAGTAACCAGCTTGGTGGATCAGGCTTGATCTACAAGGAGGCCTAGTCCAGACCGGGCACCAGGTGGGCGTTGACCCCCGGAACTTCTTCTCTCTCTCTCCAGGTAATGCTGGTAAATATATTAAATTGTGGACTGTATATTAAATATAATTAAATGGTTATAATATATACACTATGGGCATAACAGAAGGAAAATTATCTTAATATCACTTCACCAATTTGATGGAGATTTATGTGTTCAATACTCAGAAAAACCTCACTAACTAAATCTATGAAAATAATGTGGCCAGATATTTACACACAAATCTAAGAGGCTTATCTGATGGTTCATGGAGTGTCTTGTCCCAATCGTCTGATGTCTCAAGTTATGCAGGAAAGTACATCCACCAATTTCCGCCCTCCATATTTGAAGAGGTGTCAACACAATTTTAACCTCTAGAGCACGAAAAATTTCTTCCATTTTACCAACGTTGTACAAAAGTCATAACCAAGATGGCGAGTCTCCTTTCAGAGACGCCTGGCCTCAATTTTTGGGTTATAACATACTTCTTTTTAAAATACAACATAGGGCATCTTATTTATCTATAAATTACAGTATTTCTGGAATATATATACAGTATCTTTCCACACTGCAGCGGCCCGGGAGTTCGTTGCTCACGATTCAAATTACTCCTTCTTCAGGAGGTACGATTCCAGCACGTTCTGGCTCGAGTGGCTGTTCTCCTTAGTAGGTACTTACTATTGATTTCATTTTTCTGGCATCACTTGGTTCTGCGTTATCTTCACAGATCACTCGGTGTCTCTTTCCCTCAGTTTTTCATTTTACATTTGATTGAACAACCTAATTCCAAGGAATCAAATTTATTAATTGTGCGTTACACTTTCCTGGCTCAACGACACAACACTTTGACATTCCTGACATACCTTGTGTATCTGGGTACAAAATCAATACTTTTGCCCAGAGTCCACAATGTTCGATGTTGTTCAGTGTCAATTTAACACAAGTCACCTGGTTGAATGGGTCTGTCGATTACTGCCTCTGTCGCACACTTAAAAGTGTTCTGTAGTGTAGAGGAATATTCCTTACGCCCACTCATTAGACCAACAAAGATCAACTTACATTTATTTAACATTTAATTTTATACTCAAAACTGACACATCCTTGTAATCTTCTCACTTTTCTTTTTTTTTTTCCGGGGATTATCCCTATAGGACAGGGCACAGCTTCGAATTTCTTCCACATACTTAGGTGAAAAGGTTGTTAATACATCTGCATCAGGTGTTTCAACTAATGTACGAGAGTGGCCTATTTTTATACGATTTTCTGCCTCCACTAAAATCACTGTGCACGGAATTCTTCCAAATT